GCTATTTGTATGGCCAAATAGGAGATAATGTTCTCCTTGACTATCAGATTGTAACCTTTCATGAGAACTAACATCACTGAAAAGTTTAATAAAATACCCAAAAGGGCAGGCATGTCAACCTTAACTTTTTTCTTCTTTACTACTTTGCTGTGCATTCAGATGAGTGATGTAGAGACGGTTCTATTTCTGTTGGCAGTATTTTTTTAAATAACTGTACCTTAGAAGCCTATTTATGAAACTCATGTCACTGTGATAATCTCATGTTAAATTATGTAGGAAAAGTACAGTCTTTTCCTTACAAATAACTTAGCATAGTGAGTCATTATCACCTGAGAGCATCTTCTAGTCTAAAGACTTATCTACACAGAGGTATGTTGAACATATATGGCTGTAGAAATACCAGCATTGATTCGTAAAGCCGTCAGTTAAGTCTTTACTGCAAAGAGTGTGATCTTAACTTGTAGTAACTAACCCTCGTTAGGTGATTCAGGATAAAATTGCAGCAAAGATAAGCCTGGGGCACCTTAGAGACTAACAAAAAATGTAGATGGTAACATGAGCTTTTGTGGGCACAACCCACTTATTCCCACAAAAGCTTATGATACCATCTACACTTTTTGCTAGTACTGTATTTAAGGTGCCACAGGACTTTTTACTGATTTTTAATTTTTTTCAGTTACAGACTAACACTCTGAAACTTTTCAGCAAAATAAGGTAATTTGACTTTGAACTTGGGTGAACAGCTCAAGTTACAGACTGTAGAGGAGCTCATGGTTGAATTTGAGCTGCTCAAACAGGTTGTCATGTCTTTGCTACTATTTGAACCTGAATTAGCTGTGACTTTTACAGATGCTATTAGACTAAGGCCTGAAAGGAAAGTCCAGAAGAACCTAACATCACTTCTCTAGTAAACCCAATCCTGATTCCATGGAACTTGATGGCAGGAATCTGGAAAATTCAGAGTTAAGTTTTTAATGATTGTTTTAGCTCTTAGGAATGAAAGTTTATTTGGCTTTCTTTCAAGTAGGTTCTGATGAGTATGTGATTTTTAAGGATTGTAATCTAAATGTTTCTCCCAGGATATGGGTGTTGCCTAACAAATCTAACAAGGGTAAAAATAGGATATTTCTCTTACCAGCCAGTGACAAGGCTCTCACTGTCTGTAGTTCTGTTGGTTGCTCATGCAACTAGGGCCTCTGTACACCTCTCAGTTTTGATTGAGGAAGTCTATTAAGACAAGTATACCTCTCTGGCCCACCACAACCTCTATCATTATGTCAATGTTATCTATATTACAGAAGCACCTGGAGGACCTTCTTCTGCTTGGTATGGTACACACACACACATATAAATATGGTAAAAGATAGTCACTGTCCTAAAGTGTTTACAGTCTGTGGGCCAGATTTGGATGCCCTAACTTGTGCTGAATAGTACCTTACTTTTTGAGTAGTTCTGTTGACTTCAGAGGGGTCCCTTGTGAAAATAAGGTACCACTCACTGTGGGTGGTGGTCATCACAGTCTAGCCCTAGATACAAAAGAGAAAGGAAATATAGATCTGTTTTACAGAGGAGGAAGTGATATACAAAGGGATTAAATTACTTGCTCAAGTTCACACCGGAAGTCTGTGGAAGAGCCGGGTCTCTCAATGCTGGGTCTGACAATGCTTAATCACAATGCTGTCTTTCCTCTCTACTACCTGCTACTTGGGAGAGACACATCACAAAGAACTCTGCTTTGTGCAAGGCTCTCCTACACAGTCTTATTTCACTTTGCAGCAGTAGTTCTGTTATGTTGAGGACATTCCAGGAACACAAAGGGGAAATGAAATACCATTTCTCCTAATATGGTACATTTTCTTGAGTTCTGATTTTATTCTGATATGATTCTTTCTGTGGTCTTTGAGCAAATTACTTAACCGCTTCCTATTTTAGGCATAAAAATATAAGATTTTTTTAAATAACCTCAATTCTAAGAAGATTAATTAGTTCATGGCTGTAAAACAACTGTGAAGATTGGAAGTGCTTTTTATGTTTTAATTGAATTAATAATGTGTGATTGCAGGTCGTGAATTGTAAACATTTTAACAGGAACTTTTAACTTTTTATGTTTTATGAAATATCAGATTTTACTATTTCTGCTTTACTGTGATTTTAAATGTCTTTTTTTTTTAAGCTCAGTGCTTACATAATGGTATTACATTTACAATTCATATTTCAGATTTTATAGCAGTAGGTAGCAGATTCATTAGCTTCATCACCTAACCCTATAACACTTTGCCATCAATTAGTCTCTCAAGCAATACCGTGTAATACTTTCAGTAGCAAGGCTCATTGAGGCTCTAACAAGAAAGGGTCTGCCAGCATTTCCATTAGAAACATTTCTTTCAAGAGTTTTTAATTTTGTTGTAGGGGTTACCTTACCTTTACATTGAAACATGACCTTTCAGGTTTGCCACAGAGCACTTTTGGGGGACTTTGAATACACACAGACGTTTCTTAAGTAATGTTTTGAGTTTTTAAGCCTCATTTAAAAAAAAACTTTTCCGGAGTTTTTTGTATGCATTTAGAACTAAAAAACTAATGTATATAATCTGTCGATAGAAGTAAAGTGACTTGAGACCAACCTAAGACAAGAATGAAGGGTTAGAGAAATTCATTTAAAAAAACAGCTGTTTTTTAAAACTGTTTTGTTGAAAATATTTGGCAGTCCTGGACACTCTCACTAAGACTGTTTTGGGCTCAGCAGAGGACTTGTATCTCACTGCGCTTCTTTTACACTAGCAACAAATAGTTGAGAGTTTAAGTAGAGTAAGAACAACTATGTCCCAGCGATTTTTTTCCACAGCTTTTCCATGGGAGGGTAATTGGCTCTAAATCAATTATTCTATGTAATGCTTCTCATTCAAGAATTTAAAAACATTAATTCAAGGAACCTCATAGTACAGGCAGTCCCCAGGTTACGCGGATCCGACTTATGTCAGATCCGCACTTATGAACGGGGCTTTTCTCGCCCTGGAGGACGCGGGCGGCAGGACTGCCCAAACACG